AAACTTTAAGAATAAAGGGACCGTTTAAAATTGCGTCCCAAACACCTCTATCAATAGATTCTAAAAATATTTGCATTCTAACTTTCCAGAAAGGATAATTTTGACCCGCAAAAAGTGAGGGTCTATTGATAGAAGCACCATCAACAAACGTTTGATTTTGTCCTACCATTTTCAAAAAATTGAATTACTATCAAAGCAAGCTCTGATACCACTTGTTAGAATCGCGCAGCGGAATGTTTGCGTATCTGGACAAAAACCAAGAGGGGGGGTGAATTGGTTTCTTAACAAAAATTAGGGTTTTAAAATTTTCTCCAAATTTTACCGATTAAAATGATGTGTAAACGTAAATAGAGCAAGGATAGAGTCTTACACAGAAGATTTATACTGGTTCGGATCAAAAGACCCTACGTCCAGTTGCTAATCACTCAAACAGAGGATTAACGCTATCACTATAATCACAGTTTTACAAACAGATAACAATTGAAAAGATAAGGTCATGAAAACACCTCTCTTGAGTCACACAAGAGATGAATAACAGCTTTCCCAAGAGACGGCACAACACACAATCCACCAAGAAAACCCACTTAGTGATTCTTATCGCTTCTAGCCCACACTAGGTTCCAAAAACTCCTTTTTCCTCCAACAAACAGTTCTCTGGCAGTCACAGCTCTCAACTTTTGTTTGAAAAAGGTTGTTCACTTTGCAGAGAGCCTTAGAGCACCTTAAGTAGATAGATTAGGGTTTGGGAATTGGGGATTTTTGAAACCTGGTGAATTGGGACTAGGGTTTTCGAAACTTGGTCCAATTTTGAAATTTAAAATACATATCTGACTGAAATAATTGATTATCTTGAGTGTTAATCGATTATTACGAAGCCAAAATCAACAGGAACCCATAACCACGCGTTTTAATTGATTAATTAACTATTAATCGATTAACAACCCTGTTAATCGATTAACAGGAGCTTTAATCGATTATTCCAAAGAGCTGATACAGAAAATGGTTTTTCTCTCTGTAATAATCGATTATCCTGCCTTTTAATCAATTAATCCAGTGTGTTTTTGATAAAAATGAGTTTTTGAAGCTTCTAAAGAGTAGACTATGTGCTGACTATCTTAGACTCTAATATTACAGACTCAAAATCATCAAAACAGAGTTATTACATCATATTACAAGTCTTTAAATCTTTACGTCCTTTGTTCTTGAATCATCATCAAAATCTACAGGCTTCATATCCATGTATGTTCAACATTCATATCCTTGTATGTTTCAACAGATTAACCTTATATAGTATCAATTAAAACTATTTCTTAAGAACAGTTTAATCGATTACATTGATTTTTAACAGATTAAAACATTTTCAGAGGAATTTTCAAATTCTTTTAAATGATCAAACCTCATACAGTAGAGAGATATGAATGAATACCTATTAATATTGATGATGACTCACTAAATACTCTACCCTTAAACCCAAGTAGTCTTTGACTTCATCAAATTAACAAGATCTTCATTCTATCATAAAGTTCAATAAGATCTTCATCACTTTCATCTTTTAGGTTATTATTCTATTATATTATATTAGATTTACATTTTTAAGAAAAAATATGCAAAATCACAAAAATATACTAATTTTTGTATTTTAACATAGTTTTTTGTATTACTTCCGATTTCTTCACTAACCAATTTTGACCTTTGCCTCTTCTTTGATTTATATTTTTTTTCTACATAACTCTGTTTGAGCTTATTCTTTTTGTGTTGGGAACTAGACATCTTAAGCTTCAATATGAACACAAATTTGACTATTTCTGGATCCAGGAGCTATCTTTCATAAATCAGACAAAATGGTGACGTGAAACTGAAGATCCTGTTATGGAAGTGATACAAAAATTAGCTATAGTTAGATTTAGGATATGCTTGTAATTAGTTTTAATCATGGTTTAGTTAGTTTTAAATCTTGTTAACTCACATTTGAACCTAAAAATAAGGTATTTTCGTGCCATTGTAAGACACATCGAATTCTATTCTTCAATTGATGTGAAGCTAGTTCAAGTTCTCTCAATTCTAGTTCTTTCTCTTGCTCTCTCTTTAGTTTTCAGTTTAGTTTTCTTTTTATCTCTTTAGTTTCCACTTTTTCTGCTTTGTTTAGTGTTCTTCTTGCTTTACTTTAGTTGCTCTCTCAATTCAATTCCGCTTTACATTTGTTCTACACAAATTTCTACTTCAATTTATCACATAATCATAGATTGTTCATAATGTTGTTTCCAGCTTTGTTCTTCTTCATTGTTTTCGGATTTTACATTATTTTGGCAGTGATTTGAGCGTGATTCTTGTTGTTTTTCAAGCCTTAATCGGTTCCTTATTCATTAAGGAGAAGAATCACGTCTAATTAGTCAATTTCACAAAGTTTTTATGTGTTATTTTGTTCTTGTTGTTTTGACATTGTTTTTCCATTTCAAATTTGTTTTTGTTGTTTTGGCTTAATTTATTCAATTTGATTGGTTAGAATGTTGTTCTTAGATGTTGTTTCAAGTTCTTTTACTTTGTTTTAGAATTCAATTGGTGAAAATTCATTTTAGGAGTATTTTCTGTTTGGTTTGTTCATAGCAATTTAGGAGTAGTTTTCAATTTAGGAATAGTTTTTACATTTGATTGATTTTTTGTGTTTGATTTTGTAGAAATTGTTCTTGATAATCCTTTGTTGTTTTTGTACAATTTAGAATTTCTAAACATTAGTTAATAGGTTTTTAAGTTTTTCAAACAATTAGAAGTTTGTTTCCAATTAATCTTTGCAATCAGTCATGAGTAGTTTCAAGTTTTTGTCCATTTGAATATTCAATTGTTCCAATTTGTTCATACTTTATTTTCTGTCCAGATTTAATTCCAAGCATGATTTGATTCTATTTTTGTTAATTCCAAACTGTTTTAGCTGTTTTAGTTTCTAAAAATTTTTACAAACATGTTACATGCTCTAGTTTAGTATAGTTTGGAATTCTAGTTTAGTTTTTTATGTTCTTTCGGATTATATAGGCTTAATTATTCTTAATTCTTTGTGTTCAAAAGCATTTAGAAACATTTCTAATTAGAACTTAGTTTAATTTTGTTTTCATTTTATTAGTTGCATATTTTAGGCAATTGAAGTCATAGCATGTTTATATGCATAGTTAGCATATGTTTTAGTTTAATTGCATTTTTCAATTCAGTTTTTGAGAGTTTTTTGTAGTTTTTACATCATTTCAATCATTTTCTAGTTCCAATTGTGTGTTTAATCAATTTGGCTTCTAGCTTTGATAATTGATTAGTTTAATTTCCATTAGATTTATAACATACAAAATTTTCTATCTAAATCTGTCACAAAATCCGTAACTAGTTTTGTTTTTTAATTCTAGCAATTTTTTAATTCGGTTCTTGATTTGTTTGTAGTATCTTTAGTATTTTTTTTACCAATTTGATTTTACCATTTAGTGTTTAGTTCCATTTAAAGTTTTTACAAATTTCTATACAAAGCAATTTGGCACATTTTAGTTTACTAGTTTAAAATTCCTTTTAGTTGTTTACTTTTATTTTTATTTTTTTTTTACTTTTATAACTCAAAATCCCCACAAATTTACTTAGTTTTTTTTTTCATTCAAATTACACACCATAAAAAGAACAATTTGCAATTACACTCCTTGGATTGATACTTGATTTACCTCTTACTACATTTTTGAGGAAACTAAATTTTGAAAACCTGTACAACTAAGGGTTTATCATCACTCATGCCTTTATATGTATTATTGATCCAAAGACAAAGTTGAATGTTATAAGAGAATTTATCCATTTGGGGAATATATAAATCAATCCACTATATTAACTTCATTTGTATCAACTAGTTCAAGTGACATTCAATCTCCCTACGAAATAGAAAGGTAAATTTTTTCAACATCCACTCTTAAGGTAAGTTATACTTTTGTAATTTATTTTCATTCATATATATTTAAAATTCTAATAAACTCTATTTTGTCAAATTAAAGACTTATCATCAAGAATAATAAATAATGCTTCAAATGATGTCAAGTCTCATACTTTTTTTGAGTGGATTATGTCTTGTTGGTGATAATTTTGATACCCTTCAACATTGGAGATTGAATAAGCATTTATTCCCTCAACTTGTAATTATGGCGTGTGACATTTACATTAGTTTCAGAATCTTTATTTAGCATTGATGGTCGCATCTAAGTATAGAAATTGTTTACTGCGACAAATGTGCAAGCTCTCATTTATACTCATAATTGATTGTATGATTATGATCAAGTTGAACCTTTTAGTATACTCAAATTAGTATACTCAAATTAGTATACTCAAATTAGTATTCAATATTTTATAATTTTTATACTATGCAAATTTTAATTATTTAATATTATTTATTTACTTTTTTGTATAATATCAATTATAGATACAAAAGAAGTAAAGGAGATACAATTATTTACACCAAATTAGTCAAAGAGAAAATATATCTAAAAAGATAAATAATAAATATTTGATGCATTTGATTTGAATTTCCTTTATATTTTTTTATATAATATCCTATAATTAATTTAGTATTACCATTTGCAGAAAACAAATATTACAATTTTGGACGTGTAGGAAATACGTAATTGTAAGAGTATTGTGATCCTTCAAAATAGACAGTTGATATGATTTTTTTTTATAAATTTATATTTACTTAATTATTTGTGTTATGAGATATTGATGAAGTTATTAAATAAATATACTTAATGATTTTATTTTGTATAAATAGACTGTAAATTAATTTTAAATAAATAAATAACATTATTTTTTTGAATAAAATTAAAAAATATATAAATAAAAGATTTTTTAATTTTTAATTAAATCAAAAATAACTTATTAATCCATCTAATATAAGATCAAATTAAACCAAAAATATTGGTTCCTTTTAAAATTTAAATCATATTATTTATTTTTATTTTTATTTTACACTTAATGGAGACTTGTCTAATAACCCCGTTTTAACGGCCTAATGAAGTGATATCCATTACCATCAAATTGAATAGTTCCATAAAGCATCTTTTGAAACATACCGTAATTAGTTGCTATATATAGTGGCTTGCCAAACAAATTCTTCAGAGTGAACGCCGAACCAACCTCGTAGACGTGAACACCTGCATGCTAATCCTTTTCTAGCACATTTTTGCTACGTTGGGCCATTCACTGCATTCACGTTAATTTAACAAGCACTGTGATTAATAATGTATTTGAATGAAAAAATTATAGAATGAAATTCATTTTTATAAAAAAGTTGAAATATTTTATTGTAAAATGTTATTTTGTTAATAAATTTTAAAAATTTATTGAAGTAATTTGTTTACCTAAAATTATTATATTATGAAAATTATTGTCAAAATTTATAAATTTGTCATAGTTCATATATATATATATATATATATATATATATATATATATATATATATATATATATATATTCTTTTCTTACCCTCTTCTTAACTTTGCAAAGTTTATGTGTCGTGACTTTTATCTGGATTAAAATATCTTCAGTTCATCTTTAATTAGACATTATCAAACGTTTACAATTCTATTTTTACTCTATTTCGGTTGTCATTTAGTTTTTTTTTTAGTTTTTTTTTCTGATTTTTGCAAGGAGGGTTTTTCACTGACATCACTAATTTTATTTTTTGTCCAGTGGTCAAGATTTTTTTTTTTTTTTCAAATGTCACTAACCAACAACGTTTAAAACACAAAGTTTATTGATATCAACCAAAAAATATTGCCATCAATAAAAAATTATCTTAACCAAAACAATCTATATGATGTCACACTATTGAACTAATTAGATTGAATGACGTAGTAGAGTCAATCCATATCTTTAGAATGAACGAAATGACATACTAAAGTTTATCTCAGGAGCAGTATAAAACTTTGCAACTGGATAAATTTATTTACAATAAACAAAAAGAAATCATGATGAGCACAAACATGGATAAATTTGCAGCTAGAAATTGCAAATATAGAGATGAATAACGTCATATATATTAGAAAAGAAAAATATTATCCATGCTGGCCATTGCTATTTATTTTAATTCCAACTACAAATTCGAAAGAGAAAGACTATTTAAAATCGAACTCCGTCACGGAATTTTCTCTTATTTTTGTACATGAAAAAGACTAGCAAAGGAAGATAAGTTAAATTACAAAAGGAAAAAAAAAATGGCGACAAAAATTCACTCGCCTTTTCCAGGCTCATTTGAATATTCCATGTACATGCTGAAAACTCAGTTGCTGAAGATCGTTCTGAATTTATTCCCAACAATTTGACATCCACACGATAATTTCAGCGACAAACAGCCTGGTTAAAATCCGAAAAAAGATAACTAGCCTGTCAGTTACTGAAATTATATATCATTTCGTAATTTTATTTGCCCACGTGTAATATGGCACCTGCACAAACAAGGTACTGATATTTAAAAATATTGAAGTCCGAACTTACCATTAAAAAATTTAACACAGTTCGTCCCTAAGAAAAAATTGTATTCTTTTAAGAAACAGAATTTCATTGATACCTTGATGCACCGACTAGTTTCTTCAAGTATAACAACTGAAGCAGAGCAATCTTGTTAAACTCCTGCTGCAGATTTTACGTCCGAACCCGACTTTTCCTGATATTAAACAGAACAAACATTACTCATACACTATTTTTATACAAATTTACAAATCTAGTAATACGAAATTAGAATAAGAGCACGTATCAACGATTTTGATACAAACACTATTAGAACAAAGATATTGAGAAAACTGAACATTAGTGTGAAAATTGAATGATACATTTATATATTTATAAGTTTGGATATTATAAGTTTAGAATGGACTTTCTAAAATTGTAACATTAACACCATAGAATCAAAATAATAATATATTAACTACCCAAAATATATATGTAAAATCAAAATATTTCAACCTCCTTTTAAATATATTCTGCAGTTCTCCATATTGCTGGGATTGGGTATTCCCTGTTTCTAGGGTTGGATTCACAACTTCCTCTTCCCTTGACATTATAGCAAGGAGGTGTGATGCAACAGTAATGCAGGTTGTCGTCTTAGGGTTAAGAAAAATGCAGCAGCAATGTAAGTTGCCGTCTTAGGGTTAAGAAATATGCAGCAGTAATGCAGGCTGACGTCTTAGGGTTTATCGCGCGCAGACAAAACTTCCTAGATCGAAAGCTCTGATACCATCTGGAAAATTAGATTAACTGAAATATGATTTTTATTATATCAATACAAAGAGATGATATACAGGAGACCTAAGCTATTTTAGGAAATATAATAACTCTATTTTATGCTAGGATCCCTTGATTTATGAGATTATTCTTAATTATTCAAATCTGTACAGATTATAAGGAAATATACAAATTTCCTGATTTATTTTTTTCTAAAATACTATTTGATTTCCCACAGGTTCCATAGGGTTGAAAACAGATTACAACCGACCATCTTGAACTCATTCAAAATCTCTTTTACATACACCTCTTGGGACACAAATATCTCCGACTCCTCTAGTCTAACCTCTAACCCAAGAAAAAACTTCATCATACCCATATCGGTTATCTCAAATTTAATCGTCATTGTGTTCTTATAAACTCTTGAATAATTCTAGAATTATTTTCCATAAAAATGAAATTGTCAACATATAGAGCAACATACATCGCATTACCTCCACTTTTCTTCACATACAGGGCATGTTTATAAGGACACTATACAAACCCATTTTCTTTGAAGTAGGTGTTTATTTCATTGTTTCATACTCGAGGAGCTTGCTTTAACCCATAAAAAAAACCTTCTTCAACCTCAAAACTTTCATCTCCTCTCCTCTCTTCACATATCTAAGTAAGTTTTTAATATACACCTCCTTGAGCACACCATCCAAAAATGTTGACTATACATCCATATGCATGATCAACAATTTGTATTGTACTTCCAAAGAGATTAGTAGACGAACAATCTCCATCGTCACCACCAAGATGAATACCTCATCAAAATCTATCCCTTCTTTCTTTTTGTAGCCCTTCGCAACCAACCAAACATCATATTTTTCTACCTATCCTTATCCATTCATCTTCTTATTAAATACCCACTTTACACCAATTGGTTATGAGTGGGTTAGCAACTCAGTCATTATCCATGTGACATTCATTCTATTGCTCGAATCTTATCATCCATAGCAACTCGCTACATTACATCACACACTGCCTCCTCAAATTTGAAATCTGATACAAAATTTGCTAAAAGGCAAACAATATGAACATCATTCATCGAGTTGTACAAGTCTTGTGGACTTCACATTCTGGGTTGTAGTTCTTCCTCCTCCTCAGTTTCCGAACTAGCTATAACGGGTGGTGTAGCAGCTCAACACCTTCTAATATCCTCCAATGAGTCTCCTCTCCCTAGTTCCACTCACTCATTTCATTAACTTGAACATCATGATATGATCACCATCCTATTGATCGGATCTATTAGCTTATAAGCTTTCGTCTTTTCATCATATCTAATGAAATACATTTCTTACTCCTATCTTCAAGCTTTGTCCTTTATTAAGAGGGCAATACTCTATAAACAATAATTTCGAACACTTTGAGATAAGACACGATTGATTTTTCACTGTTTCATGCCTCTTGCAGTGTTATATCATCCAACTTTGCATGTGTACATAGATAACACATTGCACTACTTTTGCTCATAACTCCTTTGGCATATTCTTGGTCTTCAACATTGACCGACCATATCAAGAATAATTTGGTTCTTCCACTCAACCACACCATTTTGTTGTGGTGAGTACGAAGCTATCAAAAATTCACTTATATCTTCATTTTCACAATATTTCGTGAAAGCTACAAAAGTAAACTCTCCACCTCTATTAGATCGGATTGACCTGATGTCTTCCAGTCCTCTTTTCCACCATTATCTTGAACTTTTTGAACATCTCAAACACCTCAAATTTCGCTCTCAAAAAGTATATTTGTCTTTCTAGAGAAATCATCAACAAAAGTGATAAAATACCTCTTGCCAAATGATTCAAGGATAATTGACCCACACATATTGGTATTGTTAGATATTGTTTAGATATTGTTAAGCACAATATCAAACAATATCTTCTGTTTACTTTCAGTTACTCTTTTAGTTGTATATCTCTCTATTATAAATAGATTATCTTGTGTGTGGTTTATACACAAGGGAAATTAATCTCAATCTCTATTTCTTCTATATTCAACATGGTATCTAGAGCTTAAGGTTATTTTGAAATTTTTTCGCCTTTCTCCACTACTAGAGCCGCCACCGCCGTCGCTGGTTAAACTGATTTTCCACATCAGAAAAGAGTTATTTTTGTTACTGGATATTATTTGATAGTGTGAAAGTGCATATCTAGGAAGGTTCTGACAAGGAAAGACTTGGTATTTAAGCGTGTCCATTAGTGACTCACTTCTCTTTCCTAGGAACTTACCTGGTGTATTGATTCAAGCCGTTGTCACCGTCGTCGTTGCCTCTGCCCTTTATGACTTCTTCCGTTCCTTCTAATACTTCCAATTTTGTCAGTACAATACGTTTGATCCTTCCATCTACATTATGTTAATGTGCACTTATCCATTGACAAGTTAACTGGCCCTAATTATGCCACATGGTCATCAGACGTGGCTTAATAGTCAGAAGTATCTTGATCATCTTGCCCCAAAAGCACTTATTCTCACTCCTGATGAGGAAGACCGTTGGGACACCATTGATGTTCAATTATGTATCATTCTCAAGGGTACTATTGATCCTTCGTTAAAACAAATTTTTCGATCCTACGAAAGGTGTGCCAAAATCTGGGAACATGTGAAGTTATTATACACCAATGATACTCAACGTCTCTATGGTGTCTGTTCTAAATTTGTAGATGTTATTACTTCTAAACATTAAGATTCTATGACTGATTATATGGCAAAATTCATGCTTTTTTTCATCATGAGTTCAATGAGTTATTGTCTCTTTCTCCCGACCCTACCGAGATAACACAACGATCAAAGTTCTTCATGCTAGGGGCATTACACAGACTTGCTGATCACATATCCGTGATCAGATTTTGGGTTTTCCGGTTGTCCCCACCTTGACTTCGACATGCTCCACTCTTTTGCATGTACCAGCAAAATCCAACCCTGACATACATGCTTCTGTTAATGATTCTTCTACATTGGTATCTCACCGTGATGACCGAACTCGCCCTCGTAAACAGGGAAAATGGCGTCTTAAGTGTGAATATTGTGGCAAGCTAGGTCACAAGATTGACTAGTGTTATGCATTACATGAGTGTGAACATTGTGGCAAGCTAGGTCACAAGATTGACAAGTGTTATGCATTACATGATCGTCCTCCTCGATCTGCTGCAGATGTTCAAACTAATCTTTTCCCACCTTTATCTGCTGGGGATCCTCCTTCTTCTGTTTCATCCGACACACCTGCTATGTTCAACAAATTTCTCAAATGGTATAAGGATCAACAATCTTCTAGTTCCACTGTCTGTTGCACACACAGGTACATCTTTTGTTAGTCTGACCCAATCTTCTTCTCCTTGTCCTTGGTTTTTTTATTCAGAGCTACTTATCAAATTACTGGTAACAAATCTTTATTCTCCTCTTTATCCTCTCCTAATCATTTACCTTCTTATGGCTCTAAAGTATCATCTCATGGTGTTGGAACTATTAAACTTTTCCCTTCTTTAACTATTGATAATGTTCTTTATGTCTCTGGGTCTCCTTTTAACCTGTTATCCATCAGTCGTCTAACTCATTTTCTTGATTGTGTTGTTTATTTAACCAACAATTTTGTGTGTTTACAAGACCGAAGTTCGAAATAGGTGATTGACACAGAATGTAAGTCTCATGGCCTTTATCAATTCCGTCCCTCTACACATGTTGGTGCAGTTATGGAGTCTCCCTCTCTTTTTCATGCTCAGTTAGGTCATCCAAGTTTTGCCAAGTTATAGCAGTTTATCCCTGCCTTGTCTAAGTTGTCTAGTTTGACATGTGAGTTGTGTCAATTAGGCAAGCATAGTCATACTTCTTTTCCTTGTAGTGTCACACGTGGTGCTTCGACCCTTTTTCCATGTTCACTCTAACATTTGGGGACCTAGTCGCATTAAGTCTACTTTAGGTTTTTCAATAAATGTACTGTCCTTCAATTCCAAAAATCAAAGTATGTATAGTTGATGTGTTATTCATAACCTACTAAACCACCAAAGTACTCATTTTCTTTATCAAAATGCACAACGTTCTGGACAAGATATCAATGAAAGACACAAGCTAAGAATCATCGACTAACCTCAGGTGATTGACTCTTTCGAATCTTCCTAGTAGGAGTCCTCATGGTGACAAATTCCTCAGCTGCACTCGGGTGAATGCCTACAGTGGCATCAAAGTCAGCCTTGGTCAAGCCAGCTTTAATAGCAACCGCAAACCCCTGGTTATCAAGCAAATGTACGTCAAATTAATTGAAATTTAATGTATCATTATCAAAGCAATACATAGCATCTGTTGCAACTCTAAAAACCTGTATAATTTCAGGAGCATCTTCTCCACACATATGCAACCCTAGAACTTCATTTGTTTTTGCACAGACTACTAATTTCATAAACACCCGGTCTGGAAGCCCAGACAGAGTAGCTTTCAGCGGCCTAAAATTTGCGGTGAAGATGTCAATATCTCGATATTGTTGTACAGCCTGGAAAATCACAACAAATTATCAAAACTTTAATCCGCACAATTGAATAAAATATCCACAAGACCATTTGAATGTATTGGAATTAGACACTAATTCTCTCACCTGTTCTTCGGTAAGACCAACTTGTCCAATTGGCGGTTGAGAAAATACAGCGGAAGGAACAGCTCTAGATAATGAGGAAAGTAACAGAATCAGTTGGGAGGCTATGAATTTACTAAAGCACATCAGAGTACAAGCTACCACGAGTAGCTTCCAATATTATGGACACATTTAAGAATGAGTGGTTGTTAACACTGGAAACAGAAAGCTAGAGCACAGTATATGCACTAAAAAATGAATAAGGAGATTACTCATTAGCAAGACACTCTTCGACATTTATTTCAACAGTTTCTCTATTATTAATTATTGGGTGAAATCCTATTTGGTTTGGGTCCCACAAATACAAAGTAGGCTCAAGAACCCATATTTCAAACTCTGTTTGAAATACATCGAAGTTTTCATTTCTTCACCTCTGCTGAACTATTCAGCTCTGATCTCAATATTTAAAAATGTCAAACAAATTCAAGTAGTGTTGACCTTTCAACCAACGGTTTCAATAAATCCATTTCCATCACAAATGTGAGCTGAGATCCATTGTCGATTACCTTTTTCGAACATCAACGATTAATGAACAAAATATATAAAAATATTTCAAAATTTTAATTTTTGGGCGTGCAAGATTGCCAGGATAGATACACATGATACAACGGTTGGATTTTTTAGAATGACATTCTATGTGAATTGCGAAGCCATTTGATGATATAACTGTCAGTCCCACATCAGTCACTAAATCACCATTTAAGGCTATATATGAATTTCTTGCAATCTTTTGGTATCGCTGGTTTCTTAACAATATATCAGCAAATCATGTAGATTTAGAACAGTAGAATATGGAGTCTCTTAACATATGTTTAAGGTTAATTATACTATAACTGGAAAATTTGCCATGTCAGTGATTTTTTCTGTAGTTAAAAAAACTTTGGAGTGCATGGAGTTTTTCCCATGTGTTTTTAACATTTAAAAAAAGAAAAAAAAAAGTTTAAAATGATTATCCCAATATTGAATTGCAATAAATGGAAAGATAATATTTTGTAGGAACGAAGCAGAAACTAATAGTAATAATACAAAAGGTCTAAACCTACATTTTATACAGACCTTATGAGCAATCCTTACTGTCACAGGACAACTTTTCAACACCATTAATTCTTCTACCAATTTATTTATCAATGATATTTTGTTTAAGAAACCCGTGTGCTCCAGCATAATGCAAATAAAAAAAGCTAAAGCTAAACATGATACATAATGTATATAATACCTATAATCAGGTTTTGTTGGGGTATCCTGAAACAGTGTTTTTACTAGTGCCCCTCCCTCCATTAAAGCAACTGGGGTCAGATTTATCCTGTTTGTAACATCCCCAACTGCCCAAATTGAAGGAACCGACGTTTGAGAGTATTCATTAACCTGGGATGAAGAAGAGTGAGACCAACCGATTTACGTGGTATAATTAAGACCAATATCATATGAATATATACTAAATAATAATGATAAGCTTAAATTACCTCTATTGCTCCATCTTTAGCTATCTTCACACCAACAGACTCCAACCCTAAGTTCTGCATTGAAATTGCAGTTGATAAATACATTCATTATGTTTTTTTATCTCTTTCTGTTCAATGTATAAAATAAGATGGTTGCAAAAGAAAAATTTAAATAATAAAATTTAGAACGTCTAATGTAACCCTTAAAGAAGCTGAGCCAACTAAGAAGCAAGGGCAAATACACCAGAGTTCAAAAAAGTTCCCAACTTTAGTAAAGACGGAAATTTGCATGCAGCATCAGCAAGAATTATTCAAAGAAAATTAACATTGGGAAAATATTGGCACGTAATAGACTAAATAAAACAATAGTTAAAAAACTATTTCTATTAATCTATTCAATAATTTAAGTTGTTAACATAATTTTTCTGTAAGGTCAATCAAATTCCTCACCCTAAATCATTTTCTAAGCTAAAAGGTTTCATTATATGCGCATATTTAGATTTCAAACAGGTAACGGGAAAAGTAAAAACATATAATTGAAAATAATACCTTAGTATTTGGTCTTCGTCCAGTAGCAAACATAATATGTGAGAAACCATCCACTGTACCTTTGTTGGTTTTTAAAGAGAATGAACCATCAGCTGACTTCGTGATAGCTTGGGGAGACTCCTCAGTATGGAATTCAATACCTCTAAGAGACATTTGTTCTGCAACGAAATCTCTAATCTACAGACATAGTTCACAATTTAAATGAGATAGCTTATTAAGCAGTGACAACTCTCCTATTATATCATTCATGATTCAATACCTCTTCATCAAATCCCCTCAGAACCTTCTTTTGCCGAATAAAGACATGAACCTCACTTTTCAAACCATTAAAGATACCAGCAAACTCCAAGGCAATGTAACCACCACCAACAATAGCTATTTTCTCAGGTTTTGATGGTAAATCAAGGGCAATATCTGACTCTATTGCATATTCCTTCCCAGGAATATCAGGAATGAAGGGGCGACCACCAACAGAAATTAAAATGTGTTTGGCTGAATATAGCTTCCCATTAACATCAACCGTGTGAGGATCTATAATCTGTAGGTTCCAAAAGCATTACCACCATAAAATGAAAGCAAAACTTTTATCCTTTGATTAATATCTAGAAAGCTATTATGTACTTGGAAACAAAGCCATAGCACTATCCTACCTTTCCATGGCCTTCGATCAGCTTGACGCCAGCATTGTTCAAGATGTTCTTGTAGATGCCAGTAAGACGCTGCAACTCAGCATTTTTATTAGCTATCAAACTACTCCAATCATGCTTGGGCTCACTGTCATATCTCCAGCCAAAACCATTACTTTCTTCAAATTCGTGAGAAAACTTTGAAGCATAAACCAGCAACTTCTTTGGCACACATCCTCGTATTACACAGCTACAAGAAAAAAAGAAATGAAACAAAACAAAAAATAGACATTTTAATTCTTTTACAAAGGAACAAAAACTGAATAGCAAAATTAATGAACACAGTGATAAGGCCATAAAACATGGAAAATTGACTGGAGTTGCCAAGTTGTAAACATTTATTCATGTAAAAACCACTACCGGTTGAGTTCAAGGATCAATGATTATTAAGCTAGTATAAAGACACTGAGGTCATCTCTGATAAATTTCTCAATATGCTCTTGCAGAATAAGAAAATAAGAAAAATGAACCAAGCTTCTCCAATTAGTTAAAAATTTTATGCGTTACTTTAAATTAAGCTTTTGAAGATGCTAAACCATTGAACTTCAGCAAATTAGATTATGTACGCTAATTTCATAGAAGCTTAACCCATTTTTATTTCTTATTATATTATCTATAAGTAATTCTTTTATTAGGTTTAATTACTAAATTGGTCATTATGAAAAAAAAAATCAGTACCTATACTCAAAAATATATTTTAGTAATGCCCACGCATCTCTTTTTAGGACTAAATAGAATTAAAGTTATATATTCGTAATTAAATCTTTTTATCACGTTGCATGAAAAAGCCAATTACATAACTAACACTGTGACTTGTTGAAAAAGCTTGGTTAGCCCGAAATCTACGAATTCCTGTCCTTCACAACAACAAACCCTAGTTTAAATAAACGAAATTGAAAACGGAGAGAAAACGAGTGACTCACGTCCCGCCGACGCCCCCTGTGCTTTCGGAAGAGATGGTGGAGAAAGGGAGCTCGCAGATGGCAACAGAAGCGCCGTTATTGGCGGCAAAGCGAGAGGCTCGGACGCCTCCACTGCCAGCGCCGATGGTGAAGAGGTCGAAGTCGTAGTGGGTGGGGACAGCATCGGCTCCGTTTTGGGATTGGGCGCGGACGGCGAAGGTGCGGCGGCGCGTGGAGATTGAAATTAGGGATTTGGGAAGAGAGAGAGGGAGAAAGGAAGACCGAGGAAATGGAAGAGTTTTGGTGAAGAAGAGAGTGTTGAGAGAGAGAGATGGCGAAAAAGATAGCGAGGTCGCCATTGCTTTTTGTCTGTGTTTGTTCACTTCTCTGTGTATTCGTTTTGCTTGCTATATTATGCAGTTTTACTACTCTACTCTACATATAGTTTTATACTTTTCTTTTTCACTTTTAAAATTGAAAACCCTAAATATGTGATCTTAGAATAATCATGAAACATAACTAATATTCCATAAAAAAATTATAAATACACCAATCAAAGATATTAATTATTTAATTATACCTTTAAATATTTAAAAGGTATCCACTTGTTTAGAAAGCTAATTATATAATTCCAGCTAATTTTTAAATACATAAAAAATTATATGAACAACATAAAAAAAAATTTACTTCTATTTGATCGAATCAAAACAATAAATAATATCATTGAACTACAAATTTAAGTCTCGTTCCATAAAATGAATAGAAAAAAGAAAGAGTACTTTTTTGTTAAAGAATAAAAAAATGACAAAACTTTATTCACATGTTTTTAGACTAATTTATCGGGTCTTGACCAGATCATCGGTTAAGCAACATTCCTAATTTATTTTATATGTTATTTTATTTTATATTTTCCTGTCTATATGTACAAAAATGTTTTTATTATTTATTAGAAAACTTTAAAAACATGAAATAGATTAAAACTAAATGATATTTTGTAAAAAAAAATGAAAAAGGAAATAAATAAAAAGTAAAGTAAACTAAGTATTTATTATGTATGAATAAATGTAATTAGTCTATATAAAGTATTTTAAATAGGAAAAAAAGTGTTAATGTATTAATCAGTCATCACTTAAATTATGATAGGAAGTTAAATTTAAAAAAAAACTATTATACAAGTGATAAAAAGAAATATAAATATTATAGCAACTGTAACATAATTATAAAATTGATAAACAATTAAATTATAAATATTTTGAAGTATTTATAATATTCGAACACTTTTTATTTCATACCACGTTCAAAATTATTTTTGTATTTAGATGTTATGCTGTAAAATTATTTTATTTATTTAATTATTTTATTACATATCATCTCATTAATTATCTTTTTCTATTATTTTATATAATATCTTATATTAAATTATTATTTTTTCCTATCAATTATGATTTTTTGGATTAGTATTATATTTTAGATTCAACCAAGAAGTAAATCTAACTTTATTATTATCGTCCTCTTTCAACCTGATAAGAACATTTGGCATTCATCATAAGGCCAATAAAATGATCCCTGTAGTCTTTTCTATTCCATGGTCTTAACTTGAAGTAAAATGATATCAAATTCAAACAACGGTATGGATCCTGCAACTGTCCTCAATAACCTAAAAAAACATATGGATGAATGTCAACAAAGAAATCACGAGAAAATAAAGAATATGCAAGAATAGAATAATATTAAACTTCTGCAAATCCAACAAAAATAGTAAAAAAGTTTGAGTTAGTTTGAAAACAACACAAGACAATCCAACAAAAGGTAGGAAAAGACTTGGAGTTAGTCCGAAAACAACATCATACAGAGCTTCAAACTTTACGAAACGAGTTAAAGGTCCTCATTAAACGCCCTCGTACTAGTAAGTCGAACCTATAGTTGGAAGATACCGTAACATCAAGTCAAGTGCGAACACAACAATTATTAGCATCAACCATCAAAACACACTTAATGATCTGAAACTCAGAGAAAGCCAAAAGTCAACTCGAACACAAGTTGGGAAACCTTTTCGGGCAAAATGTCAAACCACCAAGTCAAGTAAGAAGGAGTTACTCAAGAAAGAATGTCAAGCGCAAGCATATTAACGAAGCAACTATTCAACTCCCACCTCTGAGAGAACCTATAATGGAAGCTTCATCTCGGCTTCAACCTACACACTCCTAACATACACAAATAATCGAAATTCATGAATAGCATAATGATCACCCATTCATTGCACGAATCATGGAAACCCTTCTCCCAAGTAATTGGGAACCACTCATGTTAGAGAAGTACGATGACTTGACATATCCAAAGAAATTTAGCAATGTACAAAGTACAGGTAAATTTGTACATTAACAATGGAGCAATTCTGGGCAAAGTTTTCCCGCACCACGTTGTGAGGACAAGCCTTTGAAAGCATTGAAGGGGAGATTGATGATAATGTGAAACATATCCCTACATTCCCAAGAGATGATTTTGATGATGATTCAAGTCAACAACATTCAAAACTCAAGCAAGTCCAAGATATGATTTGATAAAGATTTTATTCAACATTCAAACAAGCCCAAGATGATTCCTAAAGACTAGATAGAGTCTTAGAATATTGGATATGGAGGTACAAGTTGATGAAGTGGTATTATGCATAAGCCTCTAAAGCACAAGTGTGATAAATTTCCTAACATGACATTTTTCACTGTCATAATTGATTATGATGCATCAGAATTGAAAAATTTATTTTTACCCCGACATAATCGATTATGCTGAGGAGATAATCGATTATGACAGTTCGAAATTCAAAAATATATCTATTTTGAAGAATAAATGTTTTTGAATATATCTTGATTTTTATCCACAAAAATATTAATGTCCAACGGTCATTTTCTGATGTTATTTTTCTATTTAATTAAGTTTTGATGGAAAATAAAAAACACACAATTATAGAATTCAAAAATTCAATTTACATTCAATCAATTTTGAGAAAAAAATTATGAACAAGGCAACAAATATATTTTACACCTTCTGAGAAAACTATTTTCTCTACTGTCTTCTGTGCTTTCATTGTTAATCACATTTGTCCTTGGAAGTTGGCATTCCACAGGATTCTACAATTTGTTATCTCCATTACCAGGTGTGACTGTTCTAATTTTATTGCCTTTATCCTTTTGTGGGTTTAGGAGGTTTAAGTTAATCAATGTTATTTTAGGGTTTCATGTGTGGGAACTGTTCATCCCTTTGATTTGTTCAGGAAGGTATTCATCCCTAATGTGATTCTAGGGAGGTATTCATCCTTAGTGGGATTCTAAGGAGGTGTATTTATCCTTTGATTTGTTCAGAGGAGGTGTTCATCCCTAGTGGGATTTTAGGGAAGTGTTCATCCTTAGTGGGTTTCTAAGGAGGTGATTGTTTTTTGAATTAGTTTGCTTTTTGCTGAGTTGATTGTAATTTGTAAACTGAATTTAAAAGATAGTGAATTGGGGTCACTCTTGTGTTAAGAGTTGACTGAGAACTGGATGTAGGGTTGTCTATACCCGAACCAGTATAAATCATTGTGTGTTCTTCTCTTTTCCTTATATCTTTTTCACTGCATTACTCTCCTTACACCCCTTATTTTTATCTCTATCTTTCTCTATCTTGTTAATATTTTATCTCTCTGATTATATTGCTTCCGTTTTATCTTTGTTCAATTTGATAATTAAAATTGAATTAATAAACATTGGACATCTTAAAATAAATTTTTAATTTGGCATCTATTTTAATTTGTGCATCTATTCACCCCCCCTCTAGATGTCATTTGTGTAACAAGTGGTATCAGAGCTTGGTTAGATAAGATATTTCCAAATGATCTATCAAGATGTCTATGTAAAATCAGGTTTACAAGGAATGAGCCTCAATAAACAAACCACCACTATTTGAAGGAGAAAACTATCAGTTTTGGAAAGCGAGAATGAAATATTTTTACAAATACTAGATTATGGTGTTTGGGATACTGTACTCAACGGTCCCTACATTCCGATGAGAACAACGGAATCTGGAGTTGTTCCAAAGACTTTTGACCAATGGACGTTGGATGAAAACAAGCGTGCCCATTATGGGACACTCTTGAAGTGACACATGAAGGAACAAATGATGTAAAGCGAGCACATAAGAACACACTCATCCAGGAGTATGAATTGTTTCAAATGCAGCATAATGAAAGCATCACAAATTTCCAGACACGCTTCACACATATAATAAATCACTTGAAAGCATTAGGAAAGAGTTTTGACAATGAGGAGTTGAACACAAAGATCTTGAAATCCTTAGACAGGAATTGGCAACCAAAGGTCACTACTATTACAAAATCAAAGGATCTCACAGAAATGAATATTACTACTCTATTTAGAAAGTTGTGAGAACATGAGATGGAGTTACAAAGGTTAAAGAATGGTGAACAGAATCAAGCCAAGACGATAGCTCTAAAAGCAGAAAAAAATCTTCACAAGATGAAAGCGAAAATGAAGGTAAGTTTTCGGATTCTGATATATATCTTTTACTTAAACAATTTTCTCGTTTTATGAAGAACAAGAAAAAGAGACAACAATGAAAAAAGAAAACCAATAGTTACGAGTGCTATGGATGTGGAAAGCTTGTCATATCAAACCCGATTGTTCGGAACTTAAGAAAGAGAAGAAAGATATGAAAGAGAAGAAGAAAGAGAAGAATGGTATCTATAAGAACAAACGCAAAACTTATATTTCTTGGGAGGATATTGATTCTTCCATAACACAAGAGAGTTCTTTCGAAAGCAGTGGTGGAGAAGAAGAAGCAAATCTTTGCTTTATGGCAAAAAGTGATGATGAAGTCTCATCACAAGAAACCTCATCACAGGTAAGTACTACAAAATCCTTAAATGAATATGATGAGTTGTTTAAAGAATATCAAGATATGTATGAGGGTTTTACCAAGTTATCTAAGAAATACAATGCACTTAGACAAAAGATTAATGCATTAGAAAATACTGTTGGTATTCTTGAAAAAGAAAATGAGTGCTTAAAGAAAGATGTTGAGAAATTTAAAACTTTGTCTAAAAATAAAGAAGTTTCTAAACCTTGTAAAAATTGTAATCATTTGGAAAATGAGATTTTCAAGTTAAAGAAAATAATAAGCAAGTTTTCAAAATCTTCTGAAAATCTTGATTCTATATTAGGTTATCAAAGAGAGAATTCTAGCAAAGCTGGACTTGGTTACAAACCCAAAGAAAGTCTAGAACCTCATAAAACTATTTTTGTGAAAGAGTCAAGGAAAATAGGTGTGAAACCAGTTTCAAAAACTTTAACAAACTCATTTAGACCTT